AGATGGAATCACTCAGTGGCAGCAGCAGGCGCAGGACCAGGCAGGAGTTTGTCCTTTTGCGCATGGATAGGGTCGCTGTGAGCCAGAACCGACTCGATGGCACCTGGCAGCCCCCCAGCACTGTGAAACTGGTGATGCTGGGGGCCGTGTGACCCTTGTTGCCTCCGTTACCTTCTTCACTCCCTCATCCCTGCCTTATTTAGCAGCTCCACATGGGAGGGAGGGAGGAGTACATGGAAACAAACCAGTAAGACCACAGGGACAGTGGTGAGTCACCTGAGCCCCCAGGCTTTCTTAGTGAAGGAGAACATTAGCACACACAGAGCTAGGTTTCTGTACCCCTCCCCCCTTTCCTTCCTGACCCCTCAGTACTGCTCATCTAATCCTCAGGGGTTGTTAGCCCTATTTAACATCTGATGGGGCTTCAAAAGTTTTGGGAAAATGGAACGGAAAGGTCATGGAACTTCCACACAAACTTTTAAACGCCCCCGACAGCTTGACTTGGGGTTAATAGATGTCCTACTGTAGGTATTTAAATCTCTCATCAGTTTCGTAGTTTTTTGTTTAAGTAAAAATCAGCATAGTCTTCTCCGTCTTGTTCAGTAGTCTTCTTGACACGGACCATTCATTCTTATGTCATCACGTTGTCCCACCATCACCATTACCTCGCTCAGACATCCCTATCACTCTTCACAGAAATTCAGTGCTCCCACCCCCTACTCAGCTTTGCTTTCTTACGTGTGCGGGATTCTAGATTATCACCAAAGTGGGGTCATCTAGTGTTTGTCCTTTTGTGACTGACTTATTTCATGAAATACAGTGGTCATTCATTTCTCTCTATGGTTGGGTGTGGGCAGACCACTTTCTGTTTATCTCCTCATCTATCGAAGGACATGTAGACACCCCCAACCCCCCCCCCCCAGCTGTTGTGACTAGCGTACATGGGTGCACACGAACACGTTAGCATTCATTTTTGGGGTGGGGGTGTAGACATGCCTCACTATTGAATTGAAGGTTTGCAGCAGGTCTGTTGGAGCCATGGTTCTAACGGCGTGTGCTCACCATGTGTCTGTGTCCCAGGGTGGTCGCTCTCACAGGATTTCAGACTTGTTCACCATGCTGTGACACATGTCCCACATGACAATCCAGTGTCAGAGAGCCCTGGTGGTACACTGTAGGATAAGCACTGGACTGCTAACCTAAAGGTTGACAGCTCAAACCGATCAGCTGCTCCATGGGAGAAAGATGAGGCTGTGTGGCCCGTGACTAAAGTCGGAAAGTCTTAGAAACCCGGTAAGGTAATGACACGGTCACTCTGAGCTGGAGTCCACTCAGCGGATACAGCGTCAGCTTTGACTTTTCCTGGGAAACCAAAACCGTCATGTGACTGACTGCTACGACATTGGCCAGACCCTTGTGTTTCCGGGGTCTGCCTGTGTGCACCGGGCCGTGGAACTGCTGTGTGCTGTGGCAGGTCTCTGTCTTGCTTTTGGGGGACCTTCAGTCTCTGTGGCCCTGCCCATGTCCCTCTCCCAGCATGCTTCATTGGTCTGCTCATTCCTGCCGCTCTTCCTCTCCTGTTGCACTGCTGATGCGTCCCTTCTCCCTCAGCCTACAGGCCAATCTCAAGGCTTCATGTGGTTATGTATGTTACCAGGAGTTTAGGGTCCTGTTTGCATTTCTTTAAGGAAGATAATAGCCCAAGCACATTCCGAGATATTTCTGTTCACGCAGCAAGCAGTGTTTCTTTGAAACGCCATTGGAGGTTTTGCTATTTTGAATCCTTGGCATTAAATTCTATTTCTGTCATTTCACCCTTCAACAAGAATCCAGACATAAGCCAGGAAAGTAATTACATTGTTCAGGGACAATGTGGAAACTGAATAGGCTGTCTAATGATCTTCTTTTCCGTTCTAGAATGTATGACAACATGTCCACAATGGTGTACATAAAGGAAGACAAGCTGGAGAAACTGACGCAGGATGAAATTATTTCTAAGACCAAACAAGTAATTCAGGGGCTGGAGGCTCTGAAGAATGAGCATAATTCCATTTTACAAAGCTTACTTGAGACACTGAAGTGTTTGAAGAAAGATGATGAAAGTAACCTGGTGGAAGAAAAATCCAACATGATTCGGAAGTCGCTGGAGATGCTGGAACTTGGCCTGAGTGAGGCGCAGGTAGAGTGAGAATGGTTTGGCCTTGAGCTGTTTGGAAACCTGGAAACATGGCGGTGTGGTTAACTAAAGGAGGGGATACCGAGTTCAACTCAGACTGGGTTGTGCTACACGAGTGAGCGCTGGACGTCACAGTCAGAATAAAGGTAGTCCCCTGGATCACTTAGCATTTGATTTGGTGGTATAAGCCACATAACCGAGCTTCTCTCTCGTGTAAGTTCTGAGGTGGGTTTTCCCTGGGGGCAAAGAGGCTGCATGGACGGTCATCCGCCTCCTATGCTTCTTCTGCACACTGGCAGGCATTTTCCATAGGTGTGACCCTGATCTAGGGTCGGGTCGGGACCAGGAAGGGCGTGCTGGCCCTGGGAGGCTCAGCTGGGAAGTCGTGGTAGACTCTTGGTCTCACGGGCAGAGTTTGGCCACATGACCACACCCAATGGAGGGGATTCAAAGTCTTGTTGGCAGAGAGCTTGGAAGAGGGGGCGCTGGGAATGCTGTCTTGGGTCTTCCATGGAGGCTGCAGCGAGCAGTGTGGGGGACCCTAGCGGGGACCCAAGGACAGGAGGTCTCTGTATGTTTAATGCGATCTTGTGTCTGTCATGCTGGAAAGATGGAAGGCTGGGAACATCAGGCTTTCTGTTTTATTTCCCCCTTGCTGAAGCGCCTGGCTCTACCAGCACTTCACTTCCTTAGTCGCCTGGGACAGGGAGGGATGGGGCAGGACAGACTAGGGCTGGGGACCCTTTCTGCTTGTGTAAAGGAGCTCCTTCTCTGCCAAGTGGCTACCACACCCTCCTATAGAGAGAACTCTGCACCCCCTCATGGGACGGGCGCTGGGGGAGCACTTGGACTTGGTCTTCCTCCTGTGAGTCAGCCGATACTCGTGCTGCAGTTGAAAGGGGGCATGAACTTCCTTTTTAAAATTTGCGGACATCAGGATTAAAAAAGAAGGAAGCAGACAGCCCACCCTGTGGAGTTTGAAGTATTGATGGTGGGAGAGTAATAAAGGGGGAATGTAACCCAAGGAGAGCAGACTGAAATAGGCAGCGTCCTTGCTCTTCGTGCTCCTGTGTTCTAGGAGCCTGTGCTGGCCTCAGATGGGTCCCGGCGGCCAGGGAGCAGGGCAGCCAAGTGGACGCCCTGGGCAGGTGCACTTTTACAAAGCTCCCTTTCCTAATCTGGGAATGTTGGAGACTCCATCTAACTCTGTACACACACGGGTGTTGGTCCGCACTGAGTTGGGAGCTAGCTTCCTGAGCAGAGCAGAGCAGCTGTGTGTTCAGCTGAGACACCTCAGGCAGCAAGGAGTGTGCTGTTCCTATGGGTGTTCACGCTCATGTGTCACCTCTAGCCGAAGGTAGGAGTAGGGCAGAATGGTACATTGAGTTCAGAGGTATGCTGGAGAAAGTAGCTGCGTGCGTGCGTGCGTGCGTGCATGTGTGCATGCGTGCGTGTGCCTCATGGACGGGAAGTCCCATTTGCTGGAGGTGGGAAGCCGGCGTTGACACGTGTCTGTGTGGCAGGTGATGATGGCGCTATCCAGTCACCTGAACGCCGTGGAGTCAGAGAAGCAGAAGCTGCGTGCCCAGGTGCGCCGTCTGTGCCAGGAGAACCAGTGGCTGCGGGACGAGTTGGCCAACACGCAGCAGAAGCTGCAGAAAAGTGAGCAGTCGGTGGCCCAGCTGGAGGAGGAGAAGAAGCATCTGGAATTCATGAACCAGTTAAAGAAGTATGACGACGATGTCTCTCCCTCCGTGAGTGGCTCTGTTATAAGGCGGGGGTGGGTGGGGGGTGTCCCCATTAGGGTTGGGGGCTGCTCTCTTTGCCTTGCCCGTTTCCTTTGTGGCTTCTAGATGGTGGTCAGAAAGTGTGAGCACTCTGACACTCGGGCACAGGGCAAGAGGCACCTCTGCCTGTTTCCTCAGGGAGGTCCTGCCCAGCTTGCCATGGACGGTTCCTCCCTGTCACCCTGCTCAGCGCTTCCTTCTCTCCTGCTAGACCCCAGAAAGCAAACTTGCTGCCATGGAGTCAATTTCAGCTCATAGCCCCCCAGTGAGAGAGTAGAACTGCTCTAGGGTTCCTAGACTGTGCCTCTTAACTACAACAGCCGCCTCATCTTTCTCCCGTGGAGCAGCTGGTGGGCTGGAACCGTGAATTTGCAATTAGAAGAAGTTCTGACTCCTAGTGATCTTGAAGGACAGGACAGAACTGCCCTGTGGGTTTCTTCACAGCAGCCGACTGTCTCATCTCTCACCTGTGGAGGGGCTGATGGGTTTGAACCACCTACCTTTCTGTTACAGCCCAGCACTTTAACCTTTGTGCTACCAGGGCACCCTTGGGTGGCTTAAAAGAACAGAAGCTTCTTGTCTGGAGACTCTGAGTCCCAATTCGGGCGTCACACAAGCCTTCCTGTCTCCCCACCTCAGGCATCCCGGCTGTTGCTTGGTTGTAAAGGGGTTCCTCCTGGCTGTCCCCCATGTGTCTGACTCAGCCTGTCTCTCTGTCCTGTGTCAGCAGAGTTTGGGATGAGGGCCCGTCCTACTTCAGGATGCAAAAGCAAACCCCATTTCCCCACACAAGTTCATACTGAGACTTCAGCATGCCGTGTCCTGCAGGTCCCTGACTGTTGGGAGCTTCAGGGTGTTCTGAGAAGTGTGCCTGACCCTACGGATCTGTCTTATAGGAGGACAGAGATTCCGACTCCAACAAAGAGCCACTGGATGACCTTTTCCCGAATGACGAGGATGACCCCGGCCAAGGCAGTGAGTGACGTGTCCGACACACATCCTCCGCATTAGAGGAGCATGTGTCCCTGGTCTTCTGTCGTATAGATGTGCTGGGTTTGTTGACACCTGTCTCTTTCCCAGATTACAGAGTTTCTGCTTTTGAGGATAGAGGCTTTCCCCAGGTTATGGACGTTCAACTTACAGACAGCTCCTACTTTCCCTTTAATGCAGGGCTTTATACTGGTTCTGTCAGGGCTGAGGAAGCGAAACAAGACCCTGAAATTTGTACAGTCACGGTCACTGGAATAGGAGAACTTGCAGGTTGAAGCCCCGGACTGGGAGACTCGAAAGGGGTAGTGAGCCTTTCAGGAGGTTGATGTGTGAGGTGGCTTTGTTAGCAGGACTATGAGGGTCCCATACACTCAGTGGTGTGGTCAACGGGCATCTTTGAAGCCCTGCTTTAATGTTCCCTAAATCCACCTTCAGCTTTCAAACAGTGGTTCCACTCCCAGCTCATTTTATAAGCTCTTCCCGCAATCCCTTCCATGTGCTCTGTGTGCCTCAGTGAAAGCACGGGGAGACTAAGCCTTTCCTTGTACCGAGGGAAGGAACTGACTGATCACAGACTCACAGACACGGTGAGGCTTGGGCCTGGTTACCAGGAGTGTGCCAGGACTGTTTTAATATACTTCTGTGGTTCTTAAAGAGGGAGCAAGGTCAAGGCCACTCTTTTTGGGTTAGTTTTTTGGTGTCCCCGCCACCTCCCTGTTTGCTTAAGGAACCCTGGGTAAAGTGTATGGGGTCCAAGGTTACTGCTTCCGACGCTTCTCTAGAACGCAGTGTGTCACTTGTCCCCACAGTCCAGCAGCAACATAGCAGCGCGGCTGCCGCAGCACAGCAGGGCGGCTACGAGATCCCCGCCAGGCTGCGGACCCTGCACAACCTCGTCATCCAGTATGCATCTCAGGGCCGCTACGAAGTCGCTGTGCCCCTTTGCAAACAGGCCCTGGAGGACCTGGAGAAGACCTCGGGCCATGACCACCCCGATGTGGCCACCATGCTGAATATACTGGCCCTGGTGTACAGGTATGCTTCCCTTCCTGGCAGGCTGGATATCACCCAGCACCGTGCTTCCCGCCTCACCAACTTGCCCCTTTAGGGACGTCTCAGGAATCTAATCCACATCTCTTCCAACAACCAGGAGCTGAATTAAAAGTGTTGCCCACGCCCAGCCTTGGAACTCCTGTGGGGCAATTCTGCTTTGTCCTAGATAGTTGGCGTGCGCTGGAACCAACTGTGACATTACCTTACAGCAGTTTACACAAACTTGGCCCATAAAACATATTTTCGGAGCCAGTGTAAACGCCTTCTCTAGCCTTCCCCACATCTCTTCAAACACACAGGGCTCAGATTCAAAGTATTTCACAAGGTTTTTGACAGGACGTTTGCCCAGTGGCCTGCCAACCCTTCTAGAAGGTCCCGATCGATGGCGTAAGTGTGGTTTCCTCCCTGCTCCTGCTTGTCCTGTCCCTCTTGTCCGGGCTCCTGTTGAACTTCACTTTTGCTGTGTCTTCTGGGGTCTGCTCTCTCTCCTTTTGGCATGCCGATTGCTCGAAGGTGAGGCCAGTGTCACGGCCCATCCCTCGTGTTTCTTGGGTATGTTCCCTTAGAAGCACCTGGCAGATCTGCTGAATTGCTAAAGGGAGGGAGTCCACGGGCTGCCCTGGGCCCTGGAAGTTGAGCCTCCGGTCAGTGCCAGCATGGGGAGTGGCCACTGGAGGAGGAGACCAGGACAAGAAACCAGCAAGGCTTGTTTGCCCACGGCCACTCCAGTTGTGTGGGTTTCAGTGACCTACTTTATTTTAGTTTGTCGATTGGGTGGTTTCAGTACAACGGTGTGTAAGTCTCTTGGACCTTAGAGAAGAACAGGACTTGATTCCTGCTCTCAAGGAAAAACCTGAGTACTGACGGCCAAGTGGGAGGCTCCAGGTCCGAGCACACCGATGCCTCGGCCTGAATGGGAGCTGGTTGTGATAGCGAGCTCATAGGCCTGGCGGAGGAGTGATGTTCTGAGATTGCCCCCTAAGTCTTTGTCTAAAGGAACTTGCAGTGTGTCTTCTTATGAGTGTGGTGTGAGAATGAAGCATACACAGGTTTTCCTGCCCCTTGAGAGGATGCAGGTGGGCGCAGCTCTGTGTGGCACATGGGCAGGTGGGGCTGGCCCAGGAACCCTCCTGGACTGTGTTCAGGCGGGCAGCAGGAGCGGGATGGCGACTGGAGCCTGGAGGCGAGGTGACCAGTTATCGGGCTTAGTGGAGTGTGGTGCTGGGAATCTCAGCAAGGACAAGGGACTGTAGGGAACCTGGGGCCAGTGATGCTGAAGCAGCCCACACGCCCTTGTGGATAAGTGACGTCTTCAAGGAATATTTAAACAGTGGTCAAATGTGAAAGCAACACCCCCCACAGAAGAACAGAGCGTCCACACAGCCCTGTGTGAAGCGAGAGCCCGCTCTGCATGGACAGGTGTGCCGTGCTCTAAGAAGATTAGAATGAGTTTTTAAAAACCTGTCTTGTGATTTTTGTGGAGATTTACAGAGCAAGTAAGTTTCCATGCAGCCATTTGATTCCATGTTCCTGATTGCAGTCCTCACAGTGTAACCTCACTCATCCCGCGTCGCCCTGTGTTTCCTGTTTCGATTCCTCCTCCTTTTCTAACTCTTCATGCCCTCTGAACTTGGTCCTTGGCCAGATGCTGCCCCCTTGATCTCGGATGGCTGACTGGACCACCCTGGCATTCCTGTTCCTCAGGTAGACTGCTTGGCTGGAAGTTGGACCCTGGGGATAAGTTCAGTTCCAGGCGTGAAAGATGAGTGGGGGCCATAGTCTTAGGGGGTCCAGCAGTCTGTCCAACCAGTAAGGCTGGCTTTTATTTATTTATTTATTTTATAATTTTGAGTTTAGTTCCACATTTTTTCCTACTCTCTCCAGGACCTTCTAATACGATCTCTTTCAGAGTGGTTGGTGCATGGGTCAAGCTAGTTCTGACTCACAGTGACTATAGGCACTCTGTAGGGTTTCTGAAGAATGGCTGCTGGGTTTGAACCGCCAACTTTGTGGTTAGCAGTTCAGTGCTTATCTGATAGTGCCACACCAGGACTCCACATCTTCACAATAGGATATGCTGAATTTCATCGCATAAACAATTTTTAACGTTCATGCCTTTACTAACAACATACAATCTAGCCAACCCTTCTTGTTATTGTTATGAAGTGCTATTGAGTGGTTTTTGACTCACAGTGACCCTGGACAGACTTCCCAAGGAGCGGCTGGTGAGTTTGAACCTCTGACCTTCTGGTCCTGCACTTACCCTATAGCACCACAGCCAACACTGGTGGTGGTTGGTTATGTGCTGCGGAGTCGGTTCCGACTCATAACGACCATGTACAGGGTTTCCGAGGTTGTAAATCTTTACGGGAGCAGAAAGCCTCATCTTTCTCCCGTGGAACAGCTGGTAGTTTTGAACTGCTGACCCTGAGGTCCACAGCCTGATTCGTCACCACTATGCTACTAATATAAAGGAGTTAAATTAAAAATACAGACTTCAAAAAATGGCACTAACCGTTCATCCCGCAGCCCTCTCTACTCAGCTGCATTTGGTAATTCGTTGTAACGCCCACGCAGAACTCAGACCCCATACTTAGAGTTGTATGGGTTTATTAGGGAAGTTCACAGGCTGTGTGTGCTTCTGGGTCAGAACCTTTCAGGGCACAGTTCTTCCAGTCAGGACAGTTCTCTGCTGGATAGCTCTTCTCTCCTGTGCCGCATGTTACAAAGCTCTTTTAGGCTTGCTCATAATTGCCCACAGGGCACAACACTCTACAGTAAAGCCGCACAGCCTGAAGGCACTCAGCTAGGACTCTAAGGATCCACAAACCCGGCTCTCCCATTGAAGTGCCTCGAGGCATCTGCCCAAGTCACCCAGCTTTCCTTACACCCAGCCCCCTGTCTTGTGCTCTTGGTTCTGCTGCCCCCTCTCTGCCACTGCTCTGGGGTCCACAAGCCATGCTACACTCCTGCTGCTGAGTCTTTGAAGGTGGGAGATTTCCTCCTCTGCTTCTGAGATGGCTGCTGGTAACCAGCAGGATGGCCCAGTCCACCAACCGTTGTTAGCCCTGTCAACAGGCACTCATAGCTGAAGCGTAATGCGTCAGCCTCTTCCCCCACTTCTCCTAACCCACACCCATCAGGAAAGTGTCGTATGGTGGGAGTCTGTACACACTGTGGCTAGGAGCGAGACCAAGGAACTCACTGTACTACTTGCATGGTTTTTGTTGTTTATCCTGTTTATTAAATACTTGTTTGTTTCATTGATGTTCGTGCAAATAAAAATCCCCATGAACAGCGGTACCCTCTGTGATGGTCTGTAGCTCACCGACCCACACGTGTGTCACGGGCCAGGTGCTGGGATTTGGTGACCTCCTTTCTGTCCTATAATTCTCTGTTATGTTTTAGCAGGAATGTCACTGGTGTCTGTGTGAAGTTTGAAAAAAAATAAATTGGTGGCTATCTGTGTTCATATTCGGAGTCCTGGTGTTGGTTGGAGGATAAACATAGGACTATTTATCATACGGTTGGCAGTTCAACCCACCAGCTGCTCCTCGGAAACCTTATACACAGAGTTTGCATAAAAATATGTACTTGTATTATACGTTTTGTTGAAAATCTTGGATTCTTTCAGGATCAGTTCCTAAAATGGGTTAAGTGGAGGATAGGGCTGAGCGCTGTTCAGAGGTGGACCTGGACCAAGTTGGCTCCTTTGTATATGATATCAGTCATCTGGTTTCCTCTGTGCCGTTCATTTCTCTGTTAGGAGTTTGGTTTCCATTTTGGGAACCACAGTTGATCTTTCTGAGCCTTTAGAGCCAAGTTGGTATCTAAGAAGCATTTATTCTTAGTCACCTGCTCAGCTTCTGTCTTGAGGGAGTGGGATAGCAGTGGCTTTCGAATTGTAGTGGCATCAGAATGTCCAGGGGGGCTTGTCTGTTGGTTACAGAGTGCTGGCACCCCCAGTTTTGGGTTCACTGGGCCTGAGGTGGAGCCCAGGAATTTTCCTTTCCCTCAGCTTCCCTGGTGAGCTGGATGCTGTTGTCCTGGGGGGAGGCTACACTTGAGAACCTTGTCTAGGAAGGGGCTAGCTTTGCTGTGGGCTAACTGGCCATCCTGGACAGCTACCTAGGAGCTTAGGGTACTTGTGTCAGTCCTCACAATACTCTTAGCTAGTCATTTGGTTTTATATTGTGGTTACTGAACTTTGAAACTGATTTTATACTTGCTGGCTTTCAATACAACTTTTTAGCAGCTTACAGTGTGTTAACAGTATAATTAGGAACATAGAGGAGGGTACTAGGCCAGAGTACAGGGGCTTCCGACACCCTGGAGGGTTTCCATCCTGTGCACATCTGCAGGCGAAGCCTCACTGGGCAGTCACCAGTCCTCAGCTGGAGATGGGGGTGTGTGCTGAGCGGGTGTCCGCCAGTCCTCAGCTGGAGAGGGGTGGGTGTGCAGAGCAGGTGTCCACCAGTTCTCAGCTGGAGAGAAGGGTGTACTTCAGTCTCAGGTGTAGCTGCTTGCTTGCAATCTCATTCATGAGTAGTTCAGTGTTTTGAAAGTCACATGGCCATCTCATGGCAGAACTGGGTCAGCTCTGTCTAATGTCCACCTCTGCGCTGTCCACCCTCGCTTCCTGTGTCACTTAACCCTCAGAACAGCGCGCCAGGTAACAACGCTTTTGTCCTGTGATTCCATCCAGGAAAGTGGGCAGGGAGGTCCAGGCCCAGAAAGCTGATGGCCTCTGGTTTCCTGGCTCCCCTTGTGGTATGCTGACAGACAAGTTTCCTCTAGCTGGCCACCTCTCATTTGGGATGATTTGTTGGTAAACAGCTGAAAGGCCAACTCTTACTTTTTAAACTGTCAAAGATGAACTTTTATGTCATTATTTGAAGTTACATTTATTAAAAGACCACTTGGTGTATGTCTTTCCATCCAGGGATCAGAATAAATATAAGGATGCAGCCAATCTACTGAATGATGCCCTGGCTATCCGCGAGAAGACATTGGGCAAAGACCACCCTGCGGTTTGTATAACCACCGTTTTCATCCTTTCATATTTTAGGTCCGTGTTTGCTTGTTACCCACCTCATTTTCATGTTAAACTAAACAGGGAAGGTATAGGAGCCCCCTGTTCATGGGGGTGGGGTGGGGGAGTGGTGCAGGTGGGCGGTCTTCACTCCCTGCCCCTGATGGTAAGCGTTCATATGGGACTGACGTTTGACACACATTTCACTCGTCTGCAACCACTGCCCCAAACAAACCGTGAATGAATCGCATGTCCTCCTGTAAATCAGTCTCTAAATACCTGATGTGGACTTCTTATGAAAATCTTGGCAGCTTGTCATGTAAATCTCTCCTTTGGTTGGCTTTCTGGCTTCCAATGAAGTTTAAAAAAAACCACTGCCCTGTTTTGAGGCTGATTTATTGAATTCTCACTCTTCTGCAATGGCGCTTCCTGTCTGCTGTCTGCATTCTAGTGAGGCGCTTTCTTGCTTTATGGGAGGTGGTGATCTCTCATCCAGTTAGGAGTCCACAGAACTGACTGGGTGTGTACGTTGGCGCCATCGTCTGGTAGACGTTGCGATTCTGAAATGCTCTCTGATTCCAACAGGTGGCAGCGACGCTTAACAACCTTGCGGTGCTCTATGGCAAGAGAGGGAAGTACAAGGAGGCTGAGCCGCTGTGCAAGAGGGCTCTGGAGATCCGAGAAAAGGTACGTGGGCACGAGGCTGTGGGGCATGGGTTCCCTGTGTGACTGGCTGTTTCTGACCACCCACCACCCCAAGCTGGACTGGTGTTCAAGTAGGCATTTGAAACTTTCCAGAAGGGGAATCCCGAGCCCAGGGTGTGAGAGACAACGCCAGTAGGATGGCGTTCCTGAGGACCAGGGGGCAGATGGTGTCCGACAGTGGGTCACGCTGTCACCCGGAAGAAAGGCAGTAAAGTTCGAAAATGTACTTGTAAATTATTTGCACAAAGCTTAAACATGAAATCATGATTTTCAGAGCTAAGAACTGACTTCCTTTTCTGCAGACAGGCTGTGCGGTTACTCTCGTGTGTCCTGTGCTGTTTGCCGCCAAGCTCTGCCTGTTTGTTGTCACTGATTCTTGCTGCTAGTTGGGGCATGGTGAGAGGTCCAGTGCTAGGTGCGCACCCGGACATTCAGTGCCAGCTCCCACACTGGGAGGATTCGGTGTCTGCAGACCTCTGTTCCTTTGTTGCAGGGGTTTGGGCTCAGGATTCTCTCAGTCAGGACTCTATTTCAGATAGCTTGGTGGTTTTGTGGGCATCAGAGCAGGTGTAGTGAGAGATTGGCACTGGATTTGGAGTCATATGCAAGAAGGGCAGAGGGAATGCAAAGGGATTTGTTATCAAATCATTCAGCTTTTGTTTTATCTTGTCTCCTGTGTGGCACTTGGGAAACAGAATGGCCGGGTTTGGTGTGGGCTGTCATGTCGCTGACTCAGACTCAGCAGTGGTTAGGGTTAGTTGGGGGCTACAATCAGGGAGGTACACATGCACCCAATGAGGGATCCCGATGTATTGCAGGTGACCCACCACATCTGCACCTTTGCTCTTTCGTTGTTTCTCTCAGCAAATTTGTTCGGAAGACTCGAACACTGGCCTGGTCAGGATTGGAGGCTGACAAATCAGTACCAAGGATAAGACTTGTTCTTGGGAATGCGGGTGACCCGGGACTTAAACGAGTCAGACTTCTTGAGGCAGAAAGGGCAGGTTTTTCATTTGGGATCCTCTGGAACTTGCCTGTTGTTTAGGTGCCACTTGGTAGTCACATTCATGTTACCTTCCTCAGCTTCAAAAGTTCGTGGGAAAATGGAATGAGACGATAATGGATTTTTGCCACAAACTTTTTGAAGCTCTGTTGTAATGTAACCCACCTTAGTTTCATGTTTGAGGAGTAGGGAATTAGCTTGAAGAAGTTTGTGGAAAAATTCCAGTCTCTTTTCCTTTCAATTTCCCGTCAACTCTTTGAGCCTCCTCCTCTGCGTGACCATGTGACCTGCCTGCTGGGAGTGTCAGTGGGTAAAGCTCTAGCAGGGTGCTCTCAGCCTGGCCCCTCCCTGGACTCCTCAGTG